GGTTGAAGGTGGTTGCATGTCCAGAATTGCCTTAACTTTGGCCGGGTTGGGCTCGATTCCTCTCCTGGTCATCATGTAGCCGAGGAATTTCCCGGTCTGAACCGCAAATGTGCACTTGGTTGGGTTCAGTCTCAACTGGTACCTCCTCATGATTTGGAAACAATCCCGGAGGTCCCGAGTGTGGTCGGATCGGTCCCAACTCTTGACCAGCATATCGTCAATATATGCTTCCATCGTTCGGCCTAGCAGATCAGGGAAGAGCATATTGACCATCCTCTGATAGGTCGCTCCCGCGTTGCGGAGGCCGAACGACATCACTCGGTAGCAATACAGCCCATCTGAAGTCACGAAGGCTGTTTTACTTTCATCTTCATGGTGCATCATTATTTGATGATATCCCTTGAATGCATCCATGAAGCTCATCAACTCAGCCCCGACCGTCTCGTCAACCATCTGGTGGATGCTCGGTAATGGATATGGGTCGAGCGGACAGGCCTTGTTGAGGTCGGTGAAATCAATGCACATCCTCCAAGCTGGGGGCTTAGGAACAAGGACAATATTGGCCACCCACTCGGGATAGATTACCGGCCGGATGTGCTCGATCGCCGCCATTTTCTTGACCTCATCTCTAACGAACTCGCGGCGATCGGATGAAAGGTGCCGGGTCTTTTGCACGACCGGCTTAGCTGCGGGATCGACGGCTAGCTTGTGACAAATGACCGTTCGGTTGATCCCGGGCATGTCTTCGGGCCCCCATGCGAAGATATCAGCAAACTCCAGAAGGATTGCCAGAATTTCAGCTCGGAGCTCGGGGGTGAGGGCCCGGCCAATCTTGATTTTCCTGTCCGGTCGGTACTCGGACAGGGGAACTTCTTCTATTTCCTCGGAAGGCTCAGGTTGCTCCTTCTGGTCATTGGAAACCTCCTTGGGGATCGTGTTCACCCGGGAAGACGTACCAGAATCACGCCTATTAACCGCTCGGGTGTAACACTTCTGGGCGGAGTGGACATCGCCACGGACCACACCGACCCCATTGGGGGTGGGGAATTTCATGCACAGGTGGGGCATCGAAATAATCCCACCAATCTTCATGATCGCAGGTCGGCCCAAGATGATGTTGTGGACGCAATGCAGATTGACCACAACGAATTCCATCTCGGTCTTGATCGACTTCGGCGAGGTGCCGATCTCAACTGGGAGCGTGATTTTTCCCTCGGGGTAGATAAGAGCCCCGGTAAATCCCGACAAGGCTACGCCGACCGGAGTCAGTTCGCGCTTGTCGAGCTTGAGCTTCTCAAACACGTCCAAATAAAGGACGTTGACACTGCTCCCATTGTCCACCATAACCCTCTGGACGTCCGTCCCGTTCACGTCAATAGTGACCACGAGAGCCTCCATGCCGTGGTCACCGCTGCTAGGTTGATCTTCAAGGGAGAAGGTTATGGGCTCCATTTTCTGTCTCTTCCCGGTGTCTCGGGAATCGAAGATGGCGACCGGGCAATTTTCCCTCGGTCGGGAAGCGTCGTCCAATCCACCAAAGGTTACGTGGATGGTCGCCTTTCCTGCCGGTCGGCTGCTAGATGGGGGGTCAGGGTCCCGTCGGTCGTCTCGACGGTCATATCTTCGGTCCTGACCCGACCGATCAGAGCGTCCATCACGATCAGAATGATCGGAACGATGATGAGAACGCCTGTTGTCCCTCCGATCGGTATTCCTCTTTGTTTCATCTCTCTTCCCCACACACTTGTCCAACTTTCCACGGTTGAGAAGATCTTCCAAGAGCTGGCGCAAGTGGGTACATTCCTCAGTGTCATGCCTGGCACAACGATGATAAGCACAATGCTTACTCTTGTCAGGGCCATCTTGGTCGGGATGGAGGAGTTTGATGAGATTGCAGGACTGTGCGTACTGCATGGCCTCCGCCGCGGATCGGTTCAGGGCCGTAAACTCACCAGGCCTGGTGCGGGATCGGGGATGGTCGTCACTCGATCGATGGTCTGCCCGGCCGCCCGGTTTACGGGACGAAGACCCGACCTCCTGCGAGCATTTCACAGCGTTCGCCTCGCCGGCGTTGGCATAATCTGTGACCCTTTGAAGGGCCTCTTCATACGTGGCCGGGGGGTGGAGAATGAAATCCTGATAGAGATAACCCGCCCAGAGAGAAATATGGAGCATGTGGATGGCGGTGGCGTCGTCCATTGGCTCGACTTCTCCGACCGCAGCCTTCCATTTGACGAGGAAATCGGTCAAGCTCTCCCCTTCAAGCTGCTTGGCCTTTTCCAAGTACATATAGGACTTCCTCACCACCTTGGAGGTGATGAACTTTCTCACGAACTTGATCGCCAAGGTATTGAAATCAGCAATAGAACCTGGTTGCAACGTTCGGAACCACTTCGCCGCCCGATCGGAAAGCGTGGAGTAAAAAGCCCTCCACATCACGGCGTCTGTCACGCCCTTCATCATCATATTGCCATAGTAATCATTGACGTGGACCTCAAGGTCCGTACGGCCATCGTAACTCTTCTCCCTCGAGACCTTCAGGTCGAGCGGGATGGCTGGGCCATTATCTCCGCTGTAAAGGGCGTTCTCAACAAGGACGACTGGTCGATCGGGGGTCTCACAGGATGCTCGTTCCGGAATTGAGCGAACTCCGTCTGGAGTTTGTAGAGCAGTCCTCGGGTCTCGTTGAGTTCGGCCGTCTGGGCTTGGGTTGACTCCCGAGCGCGTCGTCGACGGTGAAATCTCGACCCACTGTGCCCAGATGAAGCCTCCTGGCTGGCCTCCTGCATCTGTACATCTCCCGCTTGCCGGCTCGGGCCCTGTGGTCCCAAACGTTGTCGCATCGCCGGTCGGAGACGGTCGAAAGCTGCCGCCCGGTTGATTTCTTCGGGGTCCTCCGCTTGGGCCGGAACCTCCGGTTGTGCTTGTGGGGCCTGCCGTGGTACCTCCATCGCATCAGCATCCACCGACCCCAACCGCGAACGAGCCAAGCGTCGAGCCCGGAAAGTGGGCTGATGCTGCGGCTCGACTTGAGCAGTCGGGTATACTGGAGGGGCGACGGCTGGAGCCGTGTACGCAGGCGTATATGGGGGGTAGCCGACTGGTGGTGTGTAAAACATCGGCTGAGCGGGCCAGTACCCGTATGGAGGAGGCGGGACCGGGTAAGGGTACTGCCCGGGGAACTGGGGCTGCGGACCGGGTGTTGGATATCCCGGCTGTTGGGGGGCCGAATACTGAGATGCGGGACGGGGTGGTGAGAGGTTGAGATTAAGGTCGACTGTTTGACCTTGATACTGGGTCGGCTAATGATCGGATGAGCTCGCCGCATCCGCTTGATCATCACCGAACAAGTTGTATGCGAAGGGATACATTGTGATAGAAAGGACGGGTGCTCGTCAAGACGTTAACTTTCGTGCACGGGTCTCCACAGACGACGCCAAAATGATAGTGTTAATTGCCACGTAAGCGGTAAGCAAACTATAATAAGACCAATTAAATGAAATAGATATCTTTTATTGATCAAGGTGAAGGCCCTAAATACAATCTAAATGGATGTTCTGAGTACCGACTGACTGCAGTCGGGATTCTCTAATAACAACCTATCGATCGTCCAAAAGTCCCTCACACTACTGCTACTGCTGGTATTTATAGCCGCTGGGCCGGAGACACAAGTCCGGCCGTTCGGCATGCCATCCACGTAGCAATGACGTGTCTTCACCCGGTAAGCCCTGCCTGTCAACGCCTAACGCTGCCACGTGCTTCCTGGTGGCTCTCACGCCTAAGGGCTCTATAGCTCGGGTAACGAAGACCTCGGTCGGGTACCAACCCGGTCGGGCACGACCGGATTCTTCCAAGAGAGTCCGACCTGTAACCTGCATAAACAAGAATAAAAGACAAAGGCATGTCGGTCGGGGTATTCCCTACTAGTGTGTATGTAGCAATTAGTCCAGATAGCCTTCGACTAGTCATTATTGCATACTCCAAGCTTCGAATTCGTTTCAATTTGCTCCGTAGTGAATGAGTATTTCGGATAGGGTTAGAGATTTTAAAAAGAAAAGGAAACGAGTTGAATAAGAAGAGAAGAAGAAAATAGAAAGAAGATTTCTCCTTGTTGTCGGCGAAAAGAGAACAATCAACAAAGACAAATTGAGGAAAGGGAAAATAGAGAAAACAGAGGAGAAAAAGTATGCGGTTGTCTCTTCGTACAGGAGCGGCGAACAACAAAAGGAAAGGGGAAAGGGAAAATAGAGAAAAGGAAAAAATTTCCTTTTTACCCTTACTAAACTGTGCAATATAACAGATAACCACAGCTCCATTAGGAGAAGGATAATATATGTACCGTTTTAAAAATTGAGAGGCAACATTTACATCATTAATAGGGATGGCAATTTCAATCCGACCCGTGGATATCCACCCGAATCCACTCCGCATGGATCGGGTTTTTTTGGGTGATGGTGGGTGGTGGGTCGGAGGTGGGTCTTAAAAAAGCAAACCCGCGGTGGGTCGGGTTGGATTCGGGTTCTATGTACAAGACCCGCCTAGAACCCCACCCGACCCACCATGTGTGTGTATATATATATATATAATAGTAAAATAAATACTAGTATGTAGTTATTTATAAAAGTTTATATAACTTCGTGTATCTTTTTACTATTTTTTATATCAAAACTACTAAGTTTATTTTTAAAAATTAACAATTTAGTTATTATATTTAAATATTTCCATTATTTATGTTTTAGTACCCCTAATGGATTTTATTTTTTTATTATGTGTAAATAATTTAAATATTATTTTTGGAAAAACATAATAAGATGATAAGTGGTGGGTACCCGTAGTGGGCACCCGCACCCGGTGGGGGTGGGGGTGGGGGTGGGTGGAGAAAATATAAGGTGGGTCGGGTGATGGATGTAGCTCTCTCCGTCTCACACCCGACCCATTGCCATCCCTAATCATTAATCATTCAGGAATGACACTGATAATTGGCATATTACAGATGGACATAAATTACAATTTTCCTTTAATATTATTATACCTTCAAAATTTTCAATATACAAGGTTCAGCCTGTATTCAAATTTTTACAGCACTCAGGAAGAAAGTATTTTCTACCCCTATTGTTACATTCATCACCTAAAGAGTTCCCAAAAGAGGTACCTTTAGTCTTTAGAGCATCTAAAAGAAATATTTCTAGCAATAATCTAAATTTAATGGTGGCTCCAGAAGCAGAACTGCAGTGTACTACTGTGCTTCTTTTCCCATCTGTTTCTGTAATAGAGAAGCTGGGATGCCAATATTTATGTTACAGATCTCATGTGTGGTGGAGCAAGAATTTTGCCGCGCTAACTTTGTTTTGCAGAGAGACACCCGAGTGACAAGACTATGCAAGAAAGAGCATGATCTTCATACCGAGAGAAATTTGAGCTCGTGCATGGGCGAAGAGCCAACAATTCTTCTATGTGACTTGTGCCTATTCATGTCTGAGAAGAAATAGCTGCTGCTATTTGCAGAAGGGCTTTCAGCAATGATGGTGAATGGCGGCGGTTCAGTTGAAGAAATAGGGAGACTTGAGAACTTCTCGCATATCAAAATTGCCTCGTTCTGGTAGAGGGGGGAAAGTCAATGCTGGAAATGATGCCTGGAAGCTTTCAAGCAGCTGTAGACAAAAATAAACTGCAAGTAAATAGATTGAACACACAAATTTTTTGGGGGAAGCTATTTGGAAACTTCAGTGAGATCTGCAACGATAAATATTTATTGCCTAGTACTACTTCTCCCGACTTTGAAGCATAAGGCTGAGATCCTGAATCGAAATTCACTGTTACAGGGCTTAGCAACATAAGTGTGCAATAGCATAAAAGGAATATATCACTAGATCTGATCATACAATTAGTTTCCATAGCCCCAGTGACAGTCATTCTCCGATGCAGAATCAATGGCAATGACATGGGAATTGGACTATTTCACATATACTGTTCACTGTTGCAAAAATCGGCCTAGGAGGCTGGACACCTAGGCGCCTAACTCGGCCTTGCTAATTTTTTTTTCATTTTATATATATATATATATATATATATATATATATATGACATACACCCACACCCGTGCACTGTTTTTTTTAGTTAGCCGCCAAGGCACCCGCCTAGGTGCTACTCTACCGTCCGACTAGCGCCTAGCGCCTACTGCAACCATGATGCTGTGTATTAAATTATTGGACCATTTAGCAAATATAAATACTGCTTGTGTTTTTATAGACAGAAATGACCTATTGATGTTTAATGCAACCCCTAGGTTTCTCTCTCCCTCTTTTATACCCTTCCCCCATTCCTCTCTTCTCTTCTTCCCGTATTCTCTCTATTTCTTCCTATTTCCATACATGTCCAACATTATTGTCACTGTGGGGGAGAGAATAAGGTGGCCTTAAATACTCTGGTAAGAATTTACATGAGAAAGAGAAGCTAGGCTATAAGATGCTTACATTTTCAAGAATCGGCACATCGTATAACTCCACGAACTTCTCTCTTAGTATACAATTCATCTGGTCAACGTCACAAGCATGTGTCCAAAAGGAATCATGCACTCCTGCAATACATACATGAAACTCGTTTCAGTCATACACTCATACCTTAACTGAAGAATAGCACGAGAAAGATATGTTTTCTATGATCCCCAGTTCTACACTGCATCACCACAGCCACTAATATAATTACAGGTGTGTTCTATGCGAGGTCAACTTTTTGAACTCAGAGTCTCAGATACTGGTACATTTTAATAGTGTTAATTTAATTTGCACACTTTTTTCTTGAAATAGCTCAGCCATTTCTAATATAAGAGGCAGCTTGCAAATGCAACTATTTAAAAGTTTCAGAAATCACTCGCAAGTTATACATCACATTTCTTTATCATAAAGGTAATCAAGGCATGCCAGGATTTGCAATGGAGGGAGCACACGAACCTGCAAAATGTAATCCTGCATCCCTGCAAGCAATGGCAGTCAACATCATGTGTGAACCATCAAGCGAGTGCACAAAATTTGGAGGAAATGCTGTTCTCTGCTTCCTGACCTCGATCTATGATGGATGGTTTGCAATAAATGGTTGGCATTATGATTTAAATTTTGGTATCCAGTTAATACTAATAAGAGAAGAGAATTTACAGTAGGAAAAACAAAAGAGAACTGTTATAATCTAATATTGGACCAAGGTCACTCAACCGAGCTATAAGACTAAATTCAAAAAATTAGCTAGTCTAACTCATGGCCTTATAAACTCATATGTTCTCTCTTATTTTTTTCAATGTACGATTCTTAACAAGAACAAAGAAGCTTCAGTTACAAGACAACTTACGGAGTCGCCATAGCACTTCAAAGACAACATCTGAAGAGAAGTTCTTATCTGCAGAGAATTTTCAGCATTAAGTGACCATAAAAAGATCCTTACAATAGCATGGTCTTAAATCTGATCACTTGAACATTGCCCTTGGGCAGAAAATCGTAAATTCTATAGTCTTGTCATGTGGATGAGACAATAGAAATGAAAAGAGTACTTACTGTGTGTCTTTTACTTTTAAAATATGGCTGCACAACAGGAAGACCCAGTGGAGTTGTCCAACAAATGGGTTGATTTTGAGAAGCAATCACCTATCAAATTTTTACCACTCAACAATTGTAATTCATGTGAAAGGTTTTCACAATTATTAAACAACCACACATCACAAACCATTGCACAATCTCCAAGCCAATTCATTATGCCGCGCGCGTCCTGAAATAACTCCCCAAGAGCAGACAATGTCACCTGTTAGGCAATTCAAAGATGAATAACTCATCAAAAGATAAACTCCATGCTTTCTGCATATTACTTCAGGTCAGTAGTCTTTTAAGCAGCTCTAGAGAGTGGGGAATTGTTTGTTAATAGTGCTTGATAGCTATTGAAGCACACTTACGGTGCAAATTAATACTATCTGCCAAACACAGGCACAAGCAAAGTATCCACAACACAAACAATATAGGGTTTACTAAAGTGACACATACATGCAAATCATGTAGCAAATGTGTAAACTGTTGAAGAGACAAATCAGCTATATGTATATTACACATACCATATGTGAATAATAAAAAAATTACTATTCTCATCTCTACCACTTCCTCTCCATAAAAATAAATAAAAATAAACAAATAAATTAATAAATAGCATGGTATCTAAGCGGGAGAATTTATGGGGAAATTCCAGCATAAGATTGGAACTAGAAAGAGTATTATGTACTTATTGGTGAAGAGGTAAGGGTTCAACACCAAATAAGAGCTCCGGACTAGGCTCAGAACACGGAGGCAAGGCCAGGGAAAGGAATCTAGCTGTTAATAGGAGCTCATACACACTGCTACAAGCCATCTGGTTTCTTGGCTTCTTACATCATGCACAATCATCACTAGCACTCAGCAGTGTTTTTTTGGGGTGAATGGAACTGTTAAAGCTTGGTAGTGTATAAAATGGTTGAGTATTTGTGTTTTATTGGAGAATTGAGTAGCACTTGCTACAAAAAGCCTAAAAGATCAAAAAAAAAAAATTAATTTAGGGTCCTAGGTGCCCATCAAACGTCCGATGAGCTCCTGCGTTTTCCACAACATTGCTTATAAACACAACATGAACTTGTATTTGATGCATGGTGCTTACCTTAGCAGCATAGCAAGCAGCTCTGAAAAGAAGCCTATCATCAGTAATAAGACCTTTCTCCTCTAACCTTCTTTTGATCTGCTCACGTGCCCCAATAAAAGTAACACCATATACAGAAGTCATTACTGTCTGTTTCACCAATTTCCTGTCCACCTGAAGTTTCATAACCCCAAATATTCAGTTGATATAAAACATAGATGCTGAAGCCAGAAATTTCTAAAACAAAATATATCAGTGGAAATATTAACTTAAAAACTATATGATCCAAGAAAACTAGAGTTATAGAGAAGAAACCTCAATAAACAACCTGGTCAATTATTAGTTTGGCTAGTAAAGCATTGGGATTACTAGATGGGTCCTTTAGGCTGTCTTCTTTTATAATACCATGAACCCTGATAATTGAACGATAATTTCATGAGTCATTATAGCATTAAAAATGCAGCAGAAGTAGAACTATTTACTAGCAAGCTGTTTAGTTTCAATATCACCAACTGTTTGCAGTCATACTAGAAGAATCTGTTAAAAGTTGAAGGCCTGGATTTTGTCTACTTTCACCATATAGACCATAGTGCAATATAATGGCTAAATACAGTGTTAAGTATCCTGGAATGTAGCCAACCAAATTCCTTCCTTAAAACTAAGGAAACAGGAGCAAGTGCCACTCAAGAATACCCAATTTAGCATATAACATTTCATCTTTCTGTTCATATAAAATTTATATCCAGCCAAGTTCATATCAAAGTTATGACAGAAAAACAATATGGCATTGAACACTAGTATTGTGGGGTCAAAACAAATATTGTGTTATTTCTGAACAAAAGTTTCTCAAGAACTGAAAATTTTCAAATTATAAAGCTTCAGCTTCTGACAAAACAGACCTCAGAAATACAGCTACAGAATTAATGTCAACACTATTGATATACCTTAGAGCAATTTCAGAATAAACATCGGCAGGTTTGTCTCCAGCAACTAAGTTGACAGCTGCTGCCTCCATCTGTAACAACAACCCAGCATAAGGCAACCAAACATTATCAGCACAAGCAAGAAGACTTGTAGAAAAGATAAAACCATGCAAAGAGGAAAATTTCAAACCCAGAAGTAGGAAAACTTACCCCCCACCCCTCAACTACAAAAACAAAAACTAAATTTACATACACTATTTCTTCCCAATGCTGCATAGTGCTGTAGGCCATTGCATGAGCCATCCTAGGAAAAAAACAGTGGGGTTAGAAAATATAAATGTATTCATTCTAGAATCTCAAAACAAAAAAGATAAAAACACAACTTACCAAGGAATTATTTTATCAAAACAGAGTAATTGAAGAAAATGTGAACTATATGCCAATAATTATTCAGAAATAAAAATCAATGAAACAGAAGAGTTTAACATAGCATTTGGCAATTGAAAGAGTCAATCAAACTCAGAAAAGTGAAGCTTTCCCTAGACATCCTACTTGAACAAGGTACAGATTTCCCGTCCAAGCACTACCATCAAGTTCAAAGTCTACTTTCATGTCTTCCAACAACTTAGTAGTGGAAACAAATAGGTGTCACAGTTATTTAAAGAATAAAATAAGAAGGGGGGTGGGGGGTGGGGGGTGGAATCAGAAGGTTGGGATTTGTTTTCAAAAACAGAAACAGCCATCCTGTATTTCCAAAGGGAAGCCATTAAATTTTGGCAATGTTAGCTAAATAAGCAACTCAGTTCTGAGACCTTTCCCTAAGATGACCCACAGTTGATTGATTGATTCCATGTCAGAAAAGTTCTATCTCCTTGAATGTGTAAAGAAACATATGCAGGTCAAGGAAAACTCAAAGCAATAGATGACTTAGTAAAAATAATATAAATGATGACAATCATGACATTATCCTCTATGAAGTTTTGGCAATGTTAGCTAAATAAGCAACTCAATTCTGAGACCTTTCCCTAAGATGACCCACAGTTGATTGATTGATTCCATGTCAGAAAAGCTCTATCTCCTTGAATGTGTAAACCAACATATGCAGGTCAAGGTAAACTCAAAGCAATAGATGAATTAGTAAAATTAATATAAATGATGACATTATCCTCTATGAAATTGATGCATCCTGCCTGTGCACAAATAACAGACAGACATCCTTCTTTGCAGAGAAAGAAGTTCCAATTTTATATTAGGGAAAGAGGTAGAAGTGGAACCCAAGCCCCTCCCCCCAAACAGCAGGGAAAAGAAGCTTACCTGATGAATTGGCAAGTGGGAGATGACAGTATGCGGTGATGAGCTTCTAAGAGCTTCTGAGAGATTAATACAAGCAGCTAAGCACTGAAATGGATCCTCAGCTCTTAACCACCAACGGCTTCCGGTGAGAGGATTGTTGGCTGAATCTAGTATATCATCAAGGTGATTTTCGACAAATGCCAGGCGTGCATCATATGAAAGCTTCTCAATACCACCTGCAAAAAGATTTGCTAAATGTATCTTCAGCCAGCGTAGTCCTGACTTTCCTAGTGGCCGTCCTTCAGCAAACTCAAGGATTCCTCTACAGAGATCAGAACTCAAGTGGTTTAAGTAGGGATGCATAGGGTATGCACGGCCTCTAAAATCAAGATTGTGGGGATAATAAAAGCCTTCCTCATCTTTCATTTTCCGAGCCACCTGTTCCAGAGAAATCCTCTCATTGTTCAGTCCTTAACATTTTCCAAAGCAAAGAACAATACTATGAAGTCATTAAAGTGTAAAGCATCTAGTCCTAATTTTTGGAGCAGCCACTACCCAAGCAATAATTTTGCCATGCACTTGCTCCAAAAATTATTTTCCATGTCTCAAACGCGCTTCTAAAGTACTTAGTCTAACTAGGTAAACCAATAATCAACTTTTAAGTCATAAAAATGAATCAAGTTAAGCAAGGGATGTTGACTAAAGCATTACTCTCTATAGTACGAAAGTATTGCAAGAAAATCTTTCTTTCTCCAAAATAAAACTGAAAACAGAATTATTCAAATTTAAAAGAGAGAAATCGTACAGAAAGTTTCAGCTCAGTATCGCATCTTAAGGAATGCCTCTCTCGGTTGATTTTCTTTGCTTTCCTCACATGCCATTTCCAACTTTGCACTTCTTCAATATCATTGGAGTCTATCTCTGGTATGGGAACCTACAAAATAACAGTCTCACCAATGATGCAAGCAACAAGGAGCAAAAGAATAGATAGCAATATGAATATTTTTCTAACGTTTGTCATAAACACAGCTATATGGCAGGATAATGTTGTGTCTTGGATTAACAATATTGCTATTTCACACAAGATAATGATTGGTAGAGTAGCAATGAAGCCATATTGCTACCCCTGTATGGATATAGTATATATGGATATGATGTTTGTGACTAGATTGTCTACAGAACATCACACCATCACACTGCCAGAAGACAACAATATTGCCCCAATTTGGATAGGATATGTTCGTCTAGACTGTCTTAGCATGAGGTGGCTTTCATAACTTCAGTGAAAGATTGTTATGGTTTTCACTTTAAATCTGAAGAGATAAAGGAAGCAATAGACAAAACATGGACCCTTTTCATGTACTACACATCACATTTTTAATGGTAGAATTTCACATTTTCATATTTTTTCTTTTACCAAATAATGGATGTGTACCACTGCATATAAATTTATAAACTCGTATCTATAATTGTAAGCATCAAAATAATTTTAGTTACTCACATCGTTGCGATCCACCATGCCAGCTATATTGCCACCACCAGCCCAAATACTCTCTACCACGCTTAGTATTCTTTTATTTACTCTCCATTTTGTGTTTCCTAAAGTATTCAAGGCCTGCAATTGCCAAAAAGAACCCTTAGAACAATCTCATCACAATATTGCATTCTTCATGAGACATCTTGAGGACATTGGTGTAGCACCTATCCAGTCTAGAATAATACAACTATACAAGTCAATTAGAAAACCAACAAATTATCTGTCTACTGAGGTGTAACTCCTTTTCAAATGATAATTTTACAGTTGCCAAGCAAAGAAATAAGAAACTTTCCACCACCATACTAATTCTAGTTCTAGGAATAATTAATAGTCCATTTGCAGTCAAAAGCAGAAGACTAACTACAACAAACTTGCCAGATTCATTTACCCCAAAGATTCTTTTTTTATGGCAATCAAATACAGAGTGTTTGTTGTATTCATGAAAAGAGATAAAGCATCAGATATAACCCTTTATATCATTCAGCATAGAACCTCTTAAATATATTGTGCACCAAATGCCACAGCATTAAGAAATATGTGATCAATCCCTCACCTCATATATTTGCTCCATTTGTTTTTTTGGAGCATTTTGAACAGCAACTTGTTGATGCCTAGACCCATGGGTACGCATCACATATGAGGGTAAGAACAAGTATCCACCTTTGTTATACCTGATAGAAGGGAACAAGTGAAATCTAAGTTTTAAATAGAAGGTTGTCTAAGTGTTAGTGGCCTAAATCTCAGGGTTTCTAGTTTTCTACTTTCAAAGTGAAATTATTCCATTAATTTGATATTTTAGCCTTCTATTATACCCCTAACATTTTCATTACTAGAACTAAAGAAAGATAATCATTTTTAAGGGAGAATAAAAGAACACTTTTTTCACGATAATAGGGATGCAGGCAAGGCGGACCCAAAAAAATTTCTGAGTGGGGCCAAAGTTCAAATGAATTCAAAAATGTCCATGACAAAATATCAAACACCGATAATATGGTTCAAATACAAAATACATTATAAATTACAATATAATGTGTATGATGAACTAGGGTATAAGCCGGGGCGGAGCAAGAAATATACTTGAGTGGGGCGAAATTTTAAAACACTTTGAAATACTATAAAAATATTTATGACAAAATATGAAGAATAATCAATTAGATAAAATAGTTTGAATAGAAAAGACTTGAATAGAAAAGACACTATAAACCACATATCATCTCTATTGATCAATATAAGTAGTAAAGCCCCTTCCCTCTTGCGGGTTAAAAAGCTAAAATCAAGGTAAATTTTACTAGTAGGGTTTGATCCTAGAATGTATGACATCAAATTGTAAGGGTCAACCAACTAAGCTGCTCAAACACTTAGTAATTTGTGTATACATTTTATTTTTATATATAAGTTACAGTTATATACGTAACACACACACACACACACACACACACACACACACACACACACACACATATATATATATATATATATAAGAGGGTGGGGTGGGGTGATGGACCCCCCCCCCTAGATCCGCCCTTGGATGCAGGTGTATTTTAAAAAATAAAAAATAAAAACCTTAGGGGAGCTGAGTGAAATTATCCCAATAATTTAGTATCTCACCCTTTCCATTTTTTTGGTGGCACCAACATTGGTATATAAGGAATCACCGTGTGCTTAACCTGCACAGACCTCAGTTCCGTTAACCAAAGAGTCAAAGTTATCCAACAGAGAAATCAAACAATGTATAGTAGCAAAGAAACACACACACACACACACACACACATATATATATGGGGAGGGTTCAAGTGAGAACAGGCTCCGATGTAAAAAGTAAGGGCTAATTTGATCCATCTATTTAGATAGATCAACGGTTGATGGTTGCTGAAAAATAAGGGGAAAATGGGCGGGGTCAATTTTATAAATATTGCAAACTTGAAAGTTTGCAATAATTATAAAATTAACACCGTGTATTTTTTACTAAAACCCTCAACCATTGATGTTATGTTCTCGGGCGAACGGACGCGTCACAGGGCAATTAGGGTTATTGGGGTTGTTTGCAGGTTGTCTATGTTGAGAGATAAATTAAAGGCATTAGGGAACAAGATATTAGGAACTTTTGAGAGTTTTCTGACTTTTTTCACCTCTGATTTTAACTTAACTTCTTGTTTACTTATCCTGTTATTAGAATGAAAATCCCCTTTATATAAGAGGGTTACAAAGACTAAATAAAGCATAAAAAGGAAAGGATAATCATTAAAGCTCCTCACCATAATTATTTGCTATTTCTAAAGAAAATAAATCAATTCTACTAATAAAGATAATAAATCAAATCTAATAATAAAGATATTTTAGAATCAACTAATCAATCTCTTGATTTCTTTCCCTAATTTTCTTAATCATAACAATTTATGAACCCGTTCTTATTTGAACATATATATAGGGGAGGGTTCAAATGAGAACAAGGTTCATCAATGGCTTAAGGTTTTAGTAAAAAAAAAATAAGGGGTCAATTTTATAATTATTGCAAACTTTCAAGTTCGCAATATTTATAAAATTGACCCCGCCCCTTTTCCCCATATTTTTCAGCAACCCTCAACTGTTGATCTACTTAAATAGATGAATCATATTAGTCCTCACTTTTTATATGGGAGCCTATCTCACCTGAGCCCACCCCTTTATATATATATATATATATATATATATATATATATATATATATATATAGTGTTATAATCAAATGAGACCACCTCATATACAATATACACATGCTTAATATGCACACGCGCGTTTTTAATCCCTCAATTTATCTCATCCATAGATCTATTTTTTTAATGGATGAGTCGATGAGATTGGTTCTCATGGACTCATTGGGAGGTTGGTTCTCATAGAAACCTCACCCTATATATATATATATATATATATATATATATATATATATATATATATATATATATATATATATATATATATATATATATATATATATATAGGGCTGCATTCAGGTGCGAACTGCCATCCGTCCACGTGTCCAGATCTAACGGATGAGAAATACGGATTAAAAAAAAAACGCGGTGGCATTTTCGTAAATAATTGAACATTGAAGTGCAAATAAAATTTATTACAAGTGCAATTAGGAGTTTCATATAGTGCACCTCAGTGCATGTAAAATGTATTACAAGTGCAGGTAAAATGTATTACAGGTGCAAGTAAAATTTACACTAAGCATCATGCATCAATAATAAGTGCACCTAACGTTATACCTAGGTGCACCTATAGTTATAAATAATTGCACCTAGGTGCACGAATGTTAACAAGGTAAAATTACTTGCACTTGTAAGTGATTTTACTTGCATTTTTTACTTGCAAAGATGCACCAGCTACTTGCACTTATAACACATTTACGTGCACCAAAATTCGAGTTATTTACGAAAATTCCACCGCGTCGTTTTTTTTTAATTACATCTGATTCGTTGATCTGGACACGTGGACGGCGCTGAATGGTTCTTATTTCTCTTCTGGGCGGCCGTTCGCATGAGAGCGTGCCCCTATATATATATATATATATATATATATATATATATATATATATATATATATATATATATATATATATTATTCATGTTTAACCATATATGATATGCCTATAGAAATTTTTGGTTACACACTAAACATCTAATGAACTGCATTCTACAAGCAACACGTGGAGAACATTGGACAAGTAAACCACAAAATGAAGAAATAGTGAAGTTCTTATCCTTGATAGTGAAAGTATACATACAATCATACATTGCTTAAGATGAAAGTAAGTGTAAAAATGATATTAGATTTAAGCAGTACAAAAAGAAAATAAAATGAAAAGTTCAATAACTTACTGTATCAGGTCCAGCACCAACCAAGGGGTCACATTCTATAACTCCATACCTTCTCACAAAATTCTTCCTACAAGGACCACCAAGCAAGTTACTTTTTACAACCAAATCTTAAAAGGGAAACTAAAATGAAAAACACATTCTCTGAATAGAATAAAACCACTAGGAATATGTTCAGTTAAGTGAGTTAACAAAAATCAACTAGGCCACTTATGTTAATGGGTTCAGTAAGTTAATGATCCACGGATTGTCTATGCAAGCTTGTTTGAAATCTGAACTGAGTAAATACCATCCAATAAGCTTTAGCCATTTTATACATAACAACCTAAACTTGATTAGTGTAACAAAATGAAATCTATACTGTGATTAAACCTAGATTGAATTAAATTCCATTAACTTTTGCAGTTAAAGCAATATAAAGTGCATATCTTATAATTTTAATAGGGATGTTCAGTTATTTATAGAATATTACTTGTAGACAATGCAACATAACTGCAACCTGTTCCTAATTAACATTCATTCACATCAAATAACAAGAAATAACAACGTTTCACAAGTCATTCATCAGGCTGAAACTGAATGAACTTTGCTATCAGCCAACACTATTCATAAAAAGTATTTGGGATAAAGTACAAATAAGCCATTGAACTATTTGGGAAAGAGCAATTAAGCCATCGAACTCAAATAACCCCCAAATAAGCCACTGAACCCGGAAAAAAAAGAACAATTGACATTTTTAACAGGTTATCTTCCCACTTTTGCTGACTGGGTTGCCACATATTTATTTTATTTTATTTTTCATTATTATATTATAATCTACATGGATTAATTTTAAGCAAATTTTCAAATTAAACATCGGATCATCGGAAGAATAGATTTCCTTCTGTTAAAATTCATCTAATAAGCAACTTGAGAATTTGATCCTCTCCTTCAGCAGTAACACCATCTTTTTCTCAATCCCTTTGTAAACAAACCACCTCAACACAGGGAAGAAGTCACACACATTGAAGAAGGGTATATCTGGGAAGAAAATCTTTCTGAGTTCTTTAATTAGATTGGGCCATGGTCACTCAATTGGGGTATAATGCACATGGGTCAAACCATTGAATCCTCCAATCAAATAAACCCATATGTTATCTCTTATATTTTCAATAAGACTCCCCCTCAAGTGGACAACCGCGGTCAATTTGAATCAACTACGTATGTAGACAACCGGGTGAACACAATGTGGACCAACCAAGCTTTAAATACCATGCTACAATTTAAGATTGGGCCAAGGTCAATTGAACTATAATGCACATGGGCCAAACCACACTAAAAGATTGAATCCAATCAATTACCTAGTCTAACACATGGTCTTATAAACCCACATGTTCTCTCTTATATTTTCAATGTGGGACTCTTAACAAAATCCTTGGTACATAGTAACATCCTTCAAAAGAAGAGGCATTGTTTCATACTTTATGACAAAGAAGTATGAAACTATATACAAGCCTCTCCATATAAACAACAATACCATTGCCATTTGGAAAGAATGAATTTTATCTCAAAAGAATAGGTAAAGGACAGAAATAATAATTAAAAGAAGTTTAAAAAAGAACAAAAGAAAAGAAACCACCAAGAAATGAAGAAAAAAGATTGAAAGAAATTTTTAAAATGAAAAGAAAAGAATAAGGGTATGCAAACTAACCATTCCGGGGCTTTAAATTCTAGAGCGAATTGCCTACTAAGTGAGATTCATTCAGGCCATTATCCCAACACACCAAGAGAAAAAATCAAGAATATTTCTATACTGAACAAATTTCCTATTTTGAACATAACAGAATGTTATTTCTAGTAATGAAGATTTTGTTGTAAATACTAATTATAATTCTAACTGATTGAAAGTTTAGGGATCATTCATAAAAGTATTTCCTAACTCCTATTAAAATGAAATAAAAATCCTTAATGAAATCATATGAGATGCACATGATACTGTTCTAGCATGAAAGTTATCTGAACTAGAGATTTTTTACCATGAATCAGAGTATTCATTATTTTGTATATATTGCTTTTTGTTGCACATCTTGGTGCAGGTTTTCAAGTGTAAATGGTCTAAACTCAAAAGTATACATAGCTACCTGAAATTTAATCATTAGAATAATTTATCAACAGAGTTTAAGCTCCTTAAAGATAATTATGCTCACCCAAAACCTTTTGAAGTAATTTTTATCGAATGCCTGAATGCAGGCCGAATATCAGGAGGACTATCAGCTGACTGATTGATTGTAGGTTGCACATAAGCTGTTTCCGTTAATAATTCTATAAGACGGCATCCCAACTGCATGAGAATAGAGAATGAAATTTTTGTCAAAGGAAAACCATGCAACTGCAGGTGACTTCATTCATTATTAGTTCTAGAGCAAACAGAAACAGACAGAAGCATACCTTAGCCCTTATTTCTTGACCCCAAGGCTCAAATTCTTCGTTTTTCAACAATTTTTGCACTTGAACTAGTCTGTTCTTTTTAATCAGCCATTGTATCCGCTTTCTTAACCATATTGGATCCCTGCTTAAATCCTCTTGCTTTGGTGTTTCATTTGTTTGACTCTTGAGTTGCTTCGTTTTCTCCAAGAAACTATGAATTCTAACCTGATAAACATTATTAATGAATTCAAATACACCAAAAGTCAATTTCATTTATACTACAGGGTGTTCTCGCATGTTCTAAGCCTGGCATGATTGATATTCCATTTTTGAGTAGCAAGGTTGCAAGAATATTATTCATTTCAGATGCCATGTGAGCGTAATTAAGGAGTTCAATAGAAGCAAGACTCCACCAAAGCTTGCCTGTTCAAGTTAGAGCTCAAATAAGAAGCAAATGAGGAGCTTGAAAGTACAGCTGGGATTACAAATTGACCAGTTCAGCTCTAATTTCAAGGTTCAAGGGTCAACTATCCACCAATTGCAACCGATTTAAACAAACTGAAGAGTGACCTAAGTTTAGTTTCATGAAAATAATTAAAAATATAAACTATATAAGTATATAAAATAACAACCGAATCAAGAAAGTAAGGTCTGCCTTTCCCTATAATTGCTTATAGTTCAAGGGGATAATGACTTCAGAAATTCTTATGAGAAATCCTACTCTCTCACAGAAATATTTGATAATTCTGGTTTTAAGAGCAATGGATAATTAGACAGGCATTTATAACTACTATTTAATCTACTCCTTAAAGCACAGTCCAAAGGTTTAGCAATCATGCAACTAGACAGCCTAAAGCTCGTTATTTTGAGAAAAGCTTAATTTTGGTCCCCCAAATATAGTGAATTCTCAAAACTAATCCTCAAATTTGAATTCGTCCAATTGTAATTCTCTTACTTTTGTGAGAGTATCAATTTTGATCATTCCATTAGTTTTTGGGGTAAGTGCGTTAGACCAACTGACCAAGGACATCTTTGTGTGTTCATAATTTTTTTTGGTTTCCACAATTTATCTTTCAATCTATTTTATTCTAATTTAAATAAATAAATAAATAAATAACTAATTTTTACGGTTCATCTTCCAAATTAAATTAAAAGATTAAATTAGAAAAACTTACGAAACAAAATAATAGATTTACAAAAACGGCATTGAAGTTAACGGACCTAGCCACAAAAATTAACATAAGGACCAAAAATAATGCTGCCACAAAAGTCAAAGAATTGTAATTGAGCAAATTCAAAGTCAATTACTATGTTTGATAGTGTTCACTGTAGGGAGGGACCAAAACCAAACTTTCTCCATTTTTTTTCCTAAGATTTTTTATATTCTTACAAGTTCATAACCAAGCCTATATGCACCTCAAAGCCTATCATGAATCAAGAATCTAAAATGATATACCAGACTTGTTTGTTTTACCTACCAAATGGTTCTTGTCTATAAATTATACTTGTGAAAATAAAGTTTTTATTTTGAAATTTCACTGACACACTACAGAAGCACTCTTAGACCAACAAAATACATGCAATTAAACCCATGTAAATATCACACATCTTAAAATAATTAACAGAAATATACTCACTATAAGAGCAAAAGCCTAACATATGACCAAAAAGTTTTTTTTTTTTAAATGCAATGCTTACTTCATTCTCAATTGCAGTGCCAATCTGCAATGCAGCTTGGAGTACTTGAACATACTTATTCTCGTTGCCACACATCATCATCAACCCCATCATCTGATGCATCACAATGACGGACATTTTATCAGCCGGCAAAGAGTCAATGTAAGGCGAGTAAGCAGCCCTGTTCTTCTTAGTCCTCTGAGTCTTCTGCTCCTTCTCTATGGCATCTCTCAGGGGCTCAAACCACCCGAGGAAGAGTTTCTTCACATAAGGAAGGTTTGGCGCCAATTTCTTCTCACACATTTCTCTATGAAGCTCTCTGTACTCCTCAACCTCCTTCTCCCATGCCTCAGTCTCCGCCTTCACCTGCCTCCTCTTCAACAAACGGTACTTGTTCCTGTTGGTCTCGCGAATCCTCAGCTTGGCCCGTTCGATCTCCCTAGCCCTAACGAACAAATTGTTGCTCAAGAAAAGAGAAGAAATCCAAGGTGGGTCTTGCACGAAAACTCTCCTGGTCGACTCCTCGGGCAAAATCGCGAGTGAGCCATTGGAGATTTTATGCGAATTTGATATATCCTCCTGGGTTTGAGTCAATATCTCGTCTTTAGAAACTGAAACGGCGTACAAAACAAGAGGCTTTGCCCGTTTGAGAGTGTGAATCTTCAAAAGTTGTGGGCTTTGCGACACAGCGAGTGGTTCAGTGGTTTCTGGTTTAGGATTGGCACGGGGGTTTTGGGGTAGTCTCCGTGTAGCGGAGAAGTGAGGTATTGAGTAGAGAGAATAGGCTGTGGAAGCCATGGAATAGAAGCTCGAGTTTCTTCAGTGGATAAGAAAACCCCTTCTAAACCCCCCACTGTCTCCCTTCCCATTTCCCCAATTTAGGATATTTCTACCTTGTCACAATTTTAAATTTTTTTATTGAAAATAATCTTTTTTTTAAGGCTACAATTTTAAATTTATAGAATTATTATAGGTTAACGTTACTCCTAAAATACTTTCTAACTTTCAAAATTGATTATATTTTTACATTATTGAATTTGTAATTCCTTCATTATTTTCTCTACATCCTTACAATACTCTTTTACTTTAAAAAAATGTTCACATATATTTCTTTATTGTATTATATTACTGGTTGAGTTTTAATATGTTCATTATATTTTTGACAAATATTTATTTTTAGTATACTACAAGTTTATTTTAGCATAATATATATAAATAAACTTGTAGTAATAAAAATAAATATTTACTAGTTCACTTTGAAATGTGGACCATGGTCTACAGTATAATTTGTCAAAAACGAAGGGATGAAAGTAAATAAAAAACTAAAAAAGCATAGACATAAGAATTTTTCACAAAAGTAATCATCCATTTGGAAACTCAAGAAATGACTTATGGGAGTCATTTTATAAGTTTTCTAGTGTTTGGTTATCAACGAAAAATATTTATTCCGGTTAAAGGAAAAATGATCCATTTTTTGCGGAAAGACATTTTTCTGATTCTTATCTCACTCTTAGTTCTCTCACACATTGAGTGGTATCAAATGTGTTGGTTGGCATGTCATTTATCTGGTTAAATTTAATTGTGTTGAGCTAGTCCGGTTAAAATATGGGTATGATCATGCTGGGTCAAATAACAAAAAGTCTTGATCTGCCCAATCCATAGCCGCAAATTATATCGTGCATCGCGGTGCATGATCGATCATGCATCGCGCGTCAAAACGACGTCGTTTTGTTTAATGAAAAGAAACGGCATCCGTTTCCCGCTGTTCAGCACCCTTCCGCAAAAAGTAACTCTGTTATTCAGTTTCATTTTGTATACACTGCAGTGTCAGTTCAACACAACTACAGTTTCACTTCGATATAACTACAAATTCATTCGATATTTATAGACTCAAATATGTAAAAATGTTATTTAATTTTATTTTATATACACTATAATTTTATTAAAACACAACTACATTATCATTTTGATATAATTACAGCTTCATTGTACAATATACACTCAAATATGTGAAATGTTATTCAGTTTCGTTTTATATACACTACAGTTTCACTTCACCACAACTACAGTATCATTTTGATATAACTGCGGTTTCATTTATCGTGAGGCAGTGTCGGTTTAGATATATATACTGTAGTGTCAGTTGGTGTTTAATACACCAAATATGCGGCCCCCGTTAACGGTAACGGCGCCGTTTTTTACCGCGGTCTACGATATAACGACTTATCCATAGCTCAAAATATTTTAAAAAAAAATTATTTTTTTCTTTAATTTCTTTAGTGTAGGCATACTATATTTATGGCAAATTATGCTATAGACCGGTGTCCACCATGTGCATGGTAAACACGCTGTACATTCATAATTTCTATATTGTACATTCATAATTTCTATACTGTAGATTCATAATTTCTAAACTGTAGATTCATAAAATTTATAATGTAGACTCATAATTTTTATACTGCACATTCATAATTTCTGTACTGTAGATTCATAATTTCTAAACTGTATAGTTATCAAATTATGAATCTATAGTACAGAAATTATGAATGTGCAGTATAGAAATTATGAATCTACATTGTAAATTTTATGAATCTATAGTATAAAAATTATGAATCTACAGTATAGAAATTATGAATCTACAGTACAGAAATTATGAATGTGCAGTATAGAAATTATGAATCTACAGTATAGAAATTGTGAATCTACAGTAGAAATTATGAATGTACAACGTGTCCACCATGTACATGGTGGACACGGGTCCAAGACATAACGCTCCTATATTTATCAATGACCAATCGTTATACCTTGCACCACGGCGCACAGTGCCTCCCAAAACGACGTCGTTTTGGGAGGCGCGGTAGGAAGTTGACATGATTATGTATATTTGTTTATACAATTATGTATATTTTTTATTATGTACATTTTTTATACAATTATGTATATTTTTTTATACAATTATATACATCCGAATCAGGAAATTTTTGTGTATTATGTTAAGAGTTTATGTGTATTATGTTAAAAGTTTATGTTTATTATGTATTATGTTAGATTATGTGTATTATCTTTTAAAAAAAAAGAGTATGTCATGTGTATTTTGTTATATAATTATGTACATTCATGTATACAATTATGTGTATTCTAGTATAACATTATGTACATTTTTGCATATGCGATTTTTTTTAAGGAAAATTAACTGCCAAACACTGGGTAGTGAAATTTTAAAAAAAAAAAAAATTGAAACAACGTCGTTTTGCATCTGGGCTCACAATGCAACGCTCGCCGTGGTGTAGGATATAAATCTGATTAATATATAGATTGGGCTAAGATAAACCAATCAATAAAAATATTGGCCCAACCTACCAACAAAAATTGATTTTTTTCTTCAATTTCATTAGTTCGGAGTTTTTTTTTTTTAATCTATGCCTAATTAAATATGAGTTGGGTAAAATATTTAAAGTAGTGAGTTCTGATCATGTCCGCCGTGCGTGATTGTTTCAATCGGATCGTGGCCCCTCTTTTAGCACAATCTGAGAGAGTGTCTCCTTAGGCTTCTAGGGTTTTATAAGCGTTGTGATGATGTTTTTTTGTGAAAGTGTGCTTTGTGTTACTCATCGGTATTCCCTACAATTCGTATTCCGACATGGATATCCGGCAGATTGAAGAACGATGCGCCATTATGTCGTTGGCTAAGGAAGAAACTGGGGCCTGGAGGAGCCCGTGATCCAAGCGAATCCTGACTCGACGATCCTCCATAATCTTGTGGGGCGATTCCTTACTGATCGGTCGATCAAATTTGAGTACATGCAGCAGGTTATGGCCTCCGTCTGGCGGCTGGTTATGGGTATGCATGTGGTGCCTCTGACGGACGAGCTGTTCTTGTTCCAATTCCCGCATCAGAGAGATCTCCAACGGGTCGTCGATGAAGGTCCGTGGACTTTTGAGAATAACATGCTAATCTGTGAGGTAGTTCCGTCGGACTCCAGACCAGAGGAGATCAAGCTGGATGCCATAACCTTTTGGATCCAGGTCTATGGGCTACCGACCATGTATGCCTACACTGAATTCCTAACACGAATTGGGAATTATATTGGATCCTTCATTGCCACTGATCCGCTCAATTTTGGGGGATCATGGCGCAGTTTTATGCGCGTCAGAGTGAAATTGGTTGTCGCGGCACCACTGAAGAGACGAATGAAAATTCTAAGGAAGGACGGTACAGTGCAATGGATAAATTTCCGGTATGAAAGGCTCAGCACATTTTGCTTTTGTTGTGGTGTCCTCGGCCATTCAGATAAATTCTGCAAAAGAGTGTATGAAGAGGGGATAGAGCCGGAAGCTTTTCCGTTCGGGTCATGGATGCGTGCAGGTAATCGTCGCCAAGTGAAGCCAGTAGGAGCTAAGTGGATTCTTTCTTCTCATACGCAGCCCACTATGCCGTCAAACATCCCGGCTGCTGGACCGTCTCCCCTTATTGTGATGGCCATGGAGGATAATAGTGGGCTTCAGTGGGATCTCAAACGACGCCGTGAGGAGACATAATCGTCCTCAAGCATGCAGGAGGAAGATGTGATGCTGGGAGACAATGCCAAGAATCTGATGACAGCGAGTCTGGTGGACCAGACTCGCCAAGCCCAATGAGCATTTTAAGCTGGAACTGCCGGGGTTTGGGCGGCACCCGGTCAGTTCGAGAACTCTTGGGCGTCGTGTCCAAGCAGCGGCCCTGTTTCGTTTTCTTAATGGAAACGAAAGCGACCGAGAACAAGGTGGAACAGGTACAAATAAAATTAGGTTTTGAAGGTGTGTTGCAAGTGGATCGTGTGGGGTTGGGTGGTGGTCTGGCTTTATTCTGGAGGGATGTTGACACAGTAGATTTGATGGGCTATTCCACACATCATATAGATGTGGAGATTTCTATCCCAGGACGTCCGAAATGGAGGCTTACCGGTTTCTATGGTCATCCGGACAGAACGAATCGGCAGTTCACTTGGGATCTTCTCAGACAACTCACAGATAAGTCAACATTGCCTTGGCTTGTTGTGGGGGACTTCAACGATATAGGGAGCCTATCGGAGAAGAGGGGTGCACATTCGCATCCAGATTCACTTATTGAAGGCTTCAATGACACCTTAAGCGATTGTATGCTGAGTGATCTAGGGATGGTGGGGGGCAAGTTTACATGGGAACGCGGGCATGGTACTGCCGAGTGGGTAGAAGAAAGATTGGACAGGGTTGTGGCCACGGTAGAATGGACAGAATTGTATGATGAGGTAGTGGTCCGAAATATTGACATGCAATCTTCCGATCATAATGCGATTCTCGTGGATCTGGACTCGCAACCGGCTCGAGCAGCCATGCGTACCTTCTGGTTCGAGTTTGCATGGTTATTGGAGGATGGGTGTGCGAAGGTGGTTGATGAGGCCCGGCGGCAGTCTATGGGGCAAAATTTTCAACAGTGTATAGAGGTTTGTGGGCGCGGCTGGGGAAATGGGGACGTGAGCATTTCCGTTATTTTGGCAACCGGATCACAAAACTCAAACATAAACTTGCTGAACTAAGGGAGGACTGCGGAGAACAGGCAATAATTGATTTTTTACACATCGAACGGGAACTGGAGGAGCTTCTAAATCAGGAGGAACTCTTTTGGAGACAACAGTCCAAACAGTTGTGGTTGAAGCACGACGATGCAAACACCAAATTCTTTCATAAATCAGCCACATCCCGACGGGCACGCAATACTTTGCAACGACTAAAGGACCAGGATGGGCATTGGCGAGAGGGGGAGGCCATGTTTACAGAAATCTTGAGGTATTTTGAAGTTATCTTTCACTCCAGTAATAGTTCTTCTGACCTGTTTCATCGGGTCCA